AGCTGAGGGTCGCCGCCAGTGTTCCCTCCGAGCTGAGTTTGTGCGAGCCAGCTCACAGCTTTTTAGCCTCCAGCGCACACATTTTTGTCTCGGCTCAGGAGGGGGCTCCAGGGCAAACTGATTGGTGCAGCAGCCAAACCGCTCACTCACAGCTTTAACGCCAGCAGCTCACAGAGTAGAACGTTTGCTCACAGGACTCGCCACCGCTTCGAGGGCGCACTGGTCCCCTCCCCCAGCTGTGCTCTCCCCGGACTCCAGGGTCGCGCCCAGTTGGGCTCGGTGCCCCCTGCCCCCTGGGAGGGAGGCCAGAGCTTAGCGGGGTGAGGAAGCAGGCCCTGACCCTGGGGAGCAAAGACAGGAGCGCCAAGGGCTGCCCTCCGACCCGCCCTGCGCCCGTTGTGCCCTCGGCACCCCCTCCAACTTCCCAGACCGGCCGGCCGGGGTGCCGACCCCCCCGCAGCGCACGCACCTGACGTTGCAGGGCTGTGCCCCGTACAGGCAAGCCAGGATGATGTCCTTGGCCTGGTAGCCCGCGCTCATCTTTTCCCTCATGGACATCCGGGAGAGGATGCTGGTGGATTGCAGGACGTACCACTCGGACACCGCCTGCACGGCGCTGGTGAAGTTCCGGTATTCACACTCGGTGCCATTCTGACGGCACTACGGGGCAACCAGAGAGAGGGGGAGATGCGGGGAGCAGGTTGGCCAGGAACTGGAACCTCCCCGCTCAGGGGCAGTATACCACCACCACCGTCTGGAAAAGGCGCAGCCCGGCCTTCCCTCCCACTGCCTGCCAGGGGGGCTTTTGGAGAGAGGATCCTGGTCGTTTGGTGTTGTGGTTAAGTGTCTGGATTCTTATCGGAGAGAACCGGGTTTGATTCCCCACTCCTCCTCCACTCGCACCTGGCTGGATGACCTTGGCCAAGCCGTAGCTCTGACCAGTGTTCCCTCTAAGCTGAGTGAGTGCGAGCTAGCTCACAGTTTTTTAGCCTCCAGATCAGAGATTTTTGTCTCAGCTCAGGAAGGAGGGGGCTACAGAGCAAACTAATTGATGCAGTAGCCGAATCGCTCGCTCACAGCTTTAATGCCAGTGGCTCACAAAGTAGAATTTTTGCTCACAAGACTCTACACAGCTTAGAGGGAGCCTTGGTTCTGACAAGGGCTGTCCTTGAACAAAGAGCAGTTTCTGTCAAGAGCTCACTCAGCCCCACTGACCTCCCAGGGTGTCTGTGGTGGGGAGGGGAAGGGACAGGAGTTTGTGAGCCGCTCTGAGACTCCAAGTGAAGGGCCATGGGGTATACATCCAGTCTCCCCTTCCTCTTGTTCAGAGCAGAGAGCAAGGAGGTCCATTCGTCTGCCCAGGCACCTCCTTCTCCTCCGTGGCCCACCTGCAGGGCTGGCCCCAGGTCACACACACCCCCACTAGGCGAGGATACCTTCTGGTGCCCCCCAATTTTTGGTGCCCCCCTTCTGGTGTGCCCCCCCGGCGAGGGGCAGGGCGAGGGGGCGAACTGCAAATGCATGCGGGGGGGCGGGATCGCTCGAGGGGAGGGGGAGGCTGCAAAAGGAGTTCCAAAGAGACCTGCGGCGACTCTGCTTTGCCTCCAGCAAACGTTTTGGGCGGCGCTGCATGGCTCATTCAGTTCCCGTCTTCCCCGGGCTGTTTCCCATGCCTGTCCCCCCCCCACCTCCTCCTCTTTCTGTCTGGGGGGCTCAAAAGAGGGGAGCCTCTTGCCGGGGATGGAGCCCCCCCCACCTCAGGAAGAACGGCAGGAACTTTTTAACTCCCCAGGGGCCCGGGGTTAGGGTGGTGTCTTCCGCCGGCCGCAGCAGCCCTCTGGCTTCCGCCGCCAACACCTGGCCGGCCATTCTCAGCCTCAGCGCCCCCCCCCCCGTCGAGCTGGCGCCCTAGGCGACGGTCTAAACTTTGTCAATGACGGGCCGGCCCTTCCTGCCGGCCCCCCTGTGGCCCTCCCGACTCACCAGTTTGATGGCCAGCTTGCAGGTGGGTTCTTCGGCGGCAATGGCAGGGCAGTTCGTGGGGAGCGGGCCAGAGCCGTCCCCCAGGAGGTCAGTGACGACCGGATCGCCCCCCGGGCTCTCGGCGATCAGCACCAGGGGGATCTGCCGCCACAGCTTCATGTTCAGTTTCTGGCTGGCGTTGGCCGGGGGGGCCTCGGTCCCGTTCTGGGGGCCCGGGGACAGCAGCCGCTCAAGGGCCACGTGGATGAGTCTGTCCAGGTCCTTCAGGCGGTTCTTCACCAGGGAATATCTGAAAGGCCACCGGGAACCAGCAGAATTATTTGGGGGGGGGGGCCAGGCCAGGCACAGAGCTCCAGACAGCTCCCCCCCCCTTCCCAACTCCCGTCTCCACCCCAGCCAGGAGGTCCTCAGCACAAACCACCCTAAAATCAAGGGGTTTGGGGGGTGAGGAGTACAGTTCTTGCACGGGAGAACCGGGTTGTGCCCTCGGCACTGGACCTGCCCAGCGGCTCTGCCCCCTGAAGCAGCTGCCTCACAGCCCATCGCCAAGGCCCGGGCTCAGCCCCGAACACGGGGAGATGGAGGTCCAGGGAGCCTCCTCCCCCTCAAGAAACGGGGCAGCCGGTGGGGGGGGGGATCCGGACAGAGCTGCCCCCCTGGGCTTCACTGGGTAGCGGGCCCTTCAGAGGCGGCCCTCTGGCTTTCTTGTTTAAAGCGCCGCACTGGATCAGTCACAAAGTCCCGGATGCTGGAGCCCGACTGCCTTATGCAGTTCCGCAGAGCCTGCAAGACGGAGCTCTTCCGCCAGGCCTTTCATTAGGAGCCGCCCCCCAATAGGGAACCCCCTGTCCCCTGAAGCCAGCGGAACAGCCTGTGCCGGCTGCACAAAGAACAGATCGACGGGCTGACCATGACGATGTAAGAGTGAAGGTCGACCGCCATCATTTAATAGTCTATCCGTGTTATTAGTTGCAAGCACTTTTAAATGTTGATATGCTTTATCTGATTTTAGGACTATTTAAATTTATGTGTCTCTTTTATTCTGTTTGTAAGCCGCCCTGAGCCGGCCTTGGCTGGGGGGGGGGATGTAAATCTAAATAAATAAATAACACCTGGGGACCAGAGTTACTTCTAAGCTGAGTCAGTGTGAGCTAGCTCACAGTTTTTTAGCCTCCAGCTCACACATTTTTGTCTCTGCTCAGGAAGGATGGGGCTCCAGAGCAAACTAATTCACGCAGTGGCCAAACTGCTCGCTCACGACTTTAATGCCCGCAGCTCACAAAGTAGAATTTTTGCTCACAAGACTCCACAGCTTAGAGGGAGCCTTGCTCGGGACCCTCATCCATTTCTGCCCCTCTCGGGAACCCCTCGGCCCAGCTGTAGCTAATAGTGAACAGGCTTGGAGCCTGGCGCCTGAAGAGCTGAGAACGTCGTGGCACAAAACGCCTACTCAAAACACAGAGCTGGAAGGTACCCTGAGGGTCATCTAGTCCACCCCCTTGCATAATGCAGGAAATTCACAACTATCCCCTCCACTCCCCCAGTGGACCCCCTGCTCTGTGCCCAGAGGAAGGCAAACAACCTCCAGGATCCCTGGGCCAATGTGACCTGGAAGCAAATTCCAGTTTGGTGTCGTGGTTAAGTGCGCGGACTCTAATCTGGGAGAACCGGATTTCATTCCCCACTCCTCCTCCACTTGCAGCTGCTGGATGACCTTGGGCAAGCCATAGTTGTGGCACAGCTGTCCTTGAAAAAGAACGGTTTCTGTCAGTCCCACCTACTTCACAGGGTGTCTGTTGTGGGGAGGAGAGGGGAAAGGAGTTTGTAAGCCACTCTGAGACTCCTTCGGGTAGTGAAGGGTGGGGTATAAATCCAATCTCTTCCTCCTCTTCTTCTTTCCAATCCCAAAGTGGCGACTGGCATTACCTCCCCCCCCCCGTGTATAAGAAAGGGTCACAAGGACAGATCGCTGGCTCATCCCCTCCTTCATAGAATCGGCCACCGAGCCTCTGCTCAAAGAAGGCGGTTCCTGAGCGTATGCCCCCCCCCCAGCTCTGCCAACAAAAAGTGGATTCAGACAAACACTTTTTTCCTGATGCAGGTCAACCCGTAACTTCACAGTGCTTCCTTGCCCCAAATCCACCCTCCCGTCTCAGCTGACGCTCAAAGGCCGAGCCCAGCGACGGCTCCGGGGCCAGAGCAGCAGGCCGGAAGGTGGGCGCCCGCGGGGGACTCACTTGAAGGGGCTGGCGCTGCAGATGCTGACGGCCGGGAAGGTCATGCTCTTGAAGCCGATGGCCAGGGAGGCGGTGACGTTGTAGGAGAGGTAGGCGTTGATGAGGATGCCCCACTGCCAGACCACCAGGGAGGCGAAGAGCAGCGTCAGGATGAACCACGTGAACTTCTTCTTGGGGCCCTCGCGGATGATGCGCTTCGGGCCGTGGGTGTTGGTGTTGTCGCAGTACCAGACCAGGAGCTCCCGGTAGGTGTAGCCAGGGCCCTTCTGGAGGCGGTGCAGGGCCTTCACCAGGTACCGCTTCAGGGTCCTTTTAGAACCCCCCCCCCCCCCCCCAAGAGAACAAAGTGTCACACCCCTGCCGAGAGCCCATTCCCTAACCCAAACCCCCCCCCTTGGCAAAAAGGCACCTCCTGGCCAGTGTTCCCTCTAAGCTGAGTTAGTGTGAGCCAGGTCAGTTTTTTAGCCTCCAGCTCACACATTTTTGCCTGAGCTCAGGAAGGATGGGGCTCCAGAGCAAACTGATTGATGCAGCAGCCAAATCGCTCGCTCAGAACTTTAATGCCGGTAGCTCACAAAGCAGAATTTTTGCTCACAAGACTCCACAGCTTAGAGGGAGCATTGCTCCAAACCAAACTAATTGAAATTGCTCACTCACAACTTTAATGCCAGAGGCTCACAAAGTAGAATTTTTGCTCACAGGACTCCACGGCTTAGAGGGAGCATTGCAAGTTCTGGCACAGCGGCTTGGGCTGCGAGCGCTGAAGCTGGGGCAAAAGGAACCGGCCCCCTCAGGCAATGGATGGGGGGGCAGAAGGGCAGCAGAGACGAGTGGCCCTGTGGCAGAGTGCATCCCCCACCCCCTCAAATGCTGCCCCCCTCGGAGTTGGGTGCTCCGCCAAAGGACAGCCCCGGAAGCAAGATGACCCAGCTGGGATCTGTGGCGCACTCGCCAGCTCCCACTTCTCTCTGGCCTTCTCCCCCACCCACACACACAGACACAACACACACACCCCCTTCGGCCCCTCTGGCTGGGCAGGGACGCAGCCGCCTGCCCCAGCCGTACCTGCCTTCCCACCGCAGACAGAAAACTGGGGCGGCAGGAAGCAAGCCTGGCTGAGTCGGCCAGAGTAGAATCCGCACTGGGAGGCAACAGAGGGCCCTGAGGCTGGCTCCAGGGGTTCCGTGGCCGCAAGCCGGCTGAGCCAGGCAGGTCCAAGGGCAGCGCCACAAGGGCTCGCGGCGGCCTTGCCCACTGGCCGTGTGACCTCCGGAGGGAATGCCAGCCACCGGCTGATGGCTGGCGGAGGCCCTGCTGGGCATTGTGCCGCCCCAGCTAATCCTGGGCCTTGTTTGCGCACACGGATGGTGCGAAGAACAGTGAGCCTCACCAGTGCATGGGCCGCGCACGTCTGGAGAATGGGTGGACTGTCAAAGCCATTCCCCCGCCCGTGAGGCAGACACTCAGGAACAAATGCCTCACTCCCCAGGCCTCACGTGCAGTCGGACTTCCGCCTTCGGGGATGCGGCCTGGCCCAGGGGAGGGGGGGGGGTCACAGGCGTGCCACCCAAGCTGGGCTCAGAGGGACACGGTGGCCCCCTCCTCGCTGTCTCCTGCCAGGGTGCCGACGCCTTCGGTGGGGGCTGGGCAAGCAGGCCTTGGACCACAGGAGGTGGGACCCTGAGGCCTCCCCGTCCCCCCCCTCCTCTTTGCTGGAGAGGGAAGATTCCAGAGAGGCACCCGCGGGTTGGCAGGGACAGGACAAGAGGTTCTGTTTTCTGCATTCTTTCGCTGCAGTCAAGATACCATCAGTACATGTTGTTCTGCCGATGGAGGGATGGGGCACGGGCCTTGCGGGCCCCGAAGGAGATACCTGCCTGTAAGGTGAGAACGCAGACTTTCTCAATCTCCCTCTGCATTTCCCCGGGAGGGAGGGAAGGGAGGGCAGAAGGCCAGGAGCTGACACGGCGCTGGAGACACAACGGTTCAGAAGGTCACGGGGAAGAAGGGAGGCTTGAGGCCGCGCTGCCACCACCAAGGGGGCAGGGACGCGACTTTCATTCTCAAGAGCCAGGGGGTGGGTGGGGGTTAAGCATGGCCCCCACCCCCGCCTTCCAAGCAGAGCTCTGCCCAAACTGCCCCCCCCCCCGCAGGCCAATTCCACTCCGTAAGGCAGAGCAGAGAACAAACTCCTGCAAATCGGCTCCCCATCCTAACAGGGAGCGCGTCCAAGTTTCTAAGAGGGGCCTCCGACTTTGCGGCTTCTCCCAAATTCTCCCCGTGCTGGAGAAAACAAGGTAAGCGGCAGCCGGGCCAGGCGGAACACATCCCAATTAACCGTGGTGCCTTGCCCAATACGGAGGCGGCGGATCCGGCCCGGCCGGTTGGCAGCGCAAGAGCGGAGTCACCCCGGGAATTCCAGAAGAACCGCTTCCTTCCTTCCTTCCTTCCCTCCCTCCCTCTCAGCCAGGCAGGGCTGGCTAGGGCATTCAAGGGGGAAAGAGGCACCGCCCCGCCCCCTCCAGGGATCACGCTTTGGAAGTTGATGGCCCGCCTGTCTGGAGGACGTTACTCAGAGGGAAGGCTGGTGCTTTTCGGAGGAAAACTGGAGGTGCTCCAGCGGTGGGCGAGCCCCCGGGAACCCCAAAAGAGGATGCCAGGAAAGTGGCGGAGAGGGGACCGGTGGCCCTGCGGAGGAAACCCCAGCTGAGTCCCCGGGGCAAGTTATGCCCCAGCTGCACCCACAAGAGTGGCCGAGAAGGAGGCCGTCGCCAAGCACAGCCGCCACCTGGGCCCGCTGCCCAGCCGCCTCCTCCTCTCTGCCCTGCCCTGGAGAGGCCCGTGGCTTCGGAACTGGCCCTGCCTGGTGCTTTTTCCTGACTGGCCCGGCCGCCGGAAATCCGTGCAGGGAGCTCTTCAGAGCCGCTGGAGCCGGTGGTCCCCTCTCGTCAAAGGTGGGCTGTATGAAGCGGCAAGCCTGCGGGATCAGACCGGTGATCCGCTCGGGCCAGCCAGATCCCTCCAGAAGCAGGTGTCTCTGTTCCTAGAGGGAGGGGGGCGTGAGAAAGAGATCCCCCCACACACACCGCCATGCGCCTCTGACGTTTGGAGACTGGGTGCGCCTGCCATTCCTTGGTTTCGCTGAAAGTCCTCTGGGACTCTGCTTGCCATGGGAAATCAAGGGACGCCAGCGCCCCCGTTCCACAGAGTTCTCTGCCCACCCAGAGGGACACGAGAGCAGCTCAAGAGTCTGACCGCGGTCCTGCCCCATGCGGCTCGTGCAGGAGAACTCGTGAACTGGCGCAAGGACCGGGTGCCGTTTCTTCGTGCTGCCAGCCCCAAAGCCTCTCCGGCCGGCCGGGAAGAGAGATTCACCCTCAGCCACTCGGGATCCAGAACCTCCTCTGGCACCAGCCGGCCTGCAAAAGGCGGATCTGGGCCCGGCCGAAACCCCACGGAGGACAAACAGACCCCCGTGGGCGGCTCTGGAGACAGAGGGCCATTCCAGTGGGTCTCACCCATCGCGCAGGGCTGCTGCCCTCCTGGGGGTTTCAGTCTTGTTCTTGCTGAAATCACTAGTCAAGCAGAGCTGATCACTAGACTTGGGGTCTGCTCATCCATGGAACCCACCACTTAACAGTGGCAGCGAAGGTGGGAGGGCTTCTGCCACAAGCATTTGCTCTTCCGCAGAACTGAAGGCAGCAGCCTCCCCCCCCCCCCAAAAACCCCCCCGCCCCCTTGGGTCAACCGTAAGACACATGCACCCCCTCGCCAGCTGCTGCCCAGCCATTTCCTCACACTCTGCTAGGGATGGGAGCCCTGCTTCTAGGGTTGCCGACTCTGGCTGGGAAACCCCTGAAGAGTGCCAGGGGAACCAACCAAGGCTCCCTCTAAGTCATGGAGTCCCGTGAGCAAAGATCCTCCTTTGTGAGTGACTGGCGTAAAAGTGGTGAGCGAGCGATTTGGCCGCTGCATCAGTCCATTTGCGCTGGAGCCCCATCCTTCCTGAGCAAAAGCAAAAATGTGTGAGCCGAAGGCTAAAAAACTGTGAGCTGGCTCACACCAACTCATCTTGGAATCGACCTCTGGAGTCGGGAGCAGTGTTCCCTCTAAGCTGAGTTAGCCTCCGGCTCACAGATTTCTGTCTCAGCTCGGGAAGGAGGGGGCTCCAAAGCAAACTCATTGATGCAGGAGCCAAATCGCTCGCTCACAACTCTAATGCCAGGAGCTCACAAGGTAGCATTTTTGCTCACAAGACTCCACAGCCTAGAGGGAGCATCGGTCCAGAGATCAGTTGTGGTGCTGGGAGAAAACACCCGGAGGCTGCGGCCACCCTGCCTGCTTCTTGGAAACTTGGCACAGAGCGATACGGGGGTGCAGGAGGCGGAAGAACCGGAACTCACAACTCATCGGCAAGAACTGCTTGGGGTCATGATTTCAAAGTGTCGAAATATCCTTCTTCAACAGGAGCTATTAGTAAGAAACATATTGCGGAAGGGATACCTTTTCAGTCCTGGGTGCCACAATCATCGGGAAAGAAATCTTTCTCCCTGCACGTCTGGAAGCAGCCCCCCCCCCCCGCA